CATCTGGTTACTATAATAAAAATTGAGGAGCCGTAAGACTTGAACTTAAACTTGCATTTACTAAATTCTTCGAAAATAATTGAGTGTCGAAAAAATCGCAAAAATACGAGAGTCATAATACAAGACCCCCCTAAAAAAATTTTCCGCTTAAACATAATACAAGACCCGGGGTCTTTTAATATAGGGGGGGGGGGGGGTATTTAATATAGCGAGTGTCTCTTTTCTATCACTAATATATCTGAGCGATAAAAAGAAAGGTCGCTGTACTGTATGATGTTCGATCATACAAATCGTGAAATTTTCTTCAAATTCTCGAGTAGTTTTTTTTGTAGAGAAGTATTCGCTCAAGTGTGACCGTGTAAAAATATCCACCTTACGAAATTTTTCACTGTGGAAAGGTTGAATTGTATCAAATATTACTCTGTTGAGGCGCCAAGTATCCATAGGGAAAGTTCTATTACATGTCGTCCAATTCTAAGCAAATTAATAAATGTAACTGTAGGGCCTGGTGCAAACGAATGTTATGAGGACTCATAGACTACTTTTAATGAACAGAGATACTCATAATTAAAAGTCTGTTTTAAACAGTCTATGAATACTTCAATTTGCAATTAATATTTTTAAAAAGCGAAGTTCTGTTCCTGTGCTCATTATTAATCTTTAACTGTATAGTCTGCCATGGGTTCTTTTTTTGTTAGATAAAAGCTGTAGGACCGGCAGCACTCTTTGAAGCGTTGTGTCGAGACAACGTATCTTTCGTGTATTTACTTATTGAAAATGGTGTATCAATGGAAGATCTCCACATAGAACAATTAAAACCAGACGAACTCGAAAAGTTTTGTGCAAGAATACTGGTAAGTGATATTAGCATAGGGCTCCATTCTGACTTTCAGCAAAATTTGGATTTTCAAAAACAACTTTTTTGAAAAGATTTCCAACAGAAAAATAATTTTAGCTATTCCCAAAACTAAAAATTTACTGACAATAAACATGCGAAATTTCAAAAAAATTATATCGAAACTTATGTAACACACAAGCGATTTGAGGAATTTCCATAATTCTTACGTATATATATATATATACAATAATGATATGAATGAAGTTTGATAAAAGACGAAGAAGTATCCTGAACTCGACTGTAATTTTCGAAATTTCTATGATTAGCGTGATTAGGAGTTTTTTATACTGCATATTGCTGCATCAGAAAAATACGATCATGAAGGCATCTGTCATTATGAACTACAGGAACCTTTGGAAATTTTCTCAAATTAATGCTTTTAATTTTTGGTGTATGTTTAAACTAGGTTTTCATGAAAAGTAAATTTTTATGATTACTGCATATTTTGCTTACAGTTGCCAAGATTCTTCGATACTTCTTTTTAATTAAAGTTTCTGATTTTTCTGAATTTTGCAAATTTACTGTTAAGTAGATGGATTTTTTGACATTGCCAGAATTTTCTAAGTAATTACCGATAATCTCCAAAATGAATGTAAGTATCATACGATGCAAAAGTAACCACACAAAAAGTTGATTCCTTTTTCTCTCCGTATCGAAACAGATATAAACTATTTTCATGACACGTTTATCAACGAAACAGCGCAATAAAACAAGAGAGATACCCTCAAAACAAATTCGCACTTTTTCTGTAAATGAACGACGTAAAATGTCGATCATTATATATATTTCATACATACGCTCTAAAAAGAAAATTCAGTTATAGCTGACAGAAAATTTTTTTCACTTTAGGACAGTGTATGGGTGTGGGTGTTGGTGTAGTAAAGACCAACGCCCGTATTCACCAAAAATCACAGCCTCTTTCGAAATGACCTAGGCGGACTGTTAAGTTTTAAGATTGTCCTCTGGAATAACATATTTTCCAGTATGATAAGGTCCAGTATGGTGAAGATATTTGAACAATTCTGGATAGTCTTATCAACTACTTCCAAGTACCTATATTCAGCATAGCATTCTCGACAAAATTCACAGAAATAACTTCTTTAGAAATGAAAAAAACACTTTATGTCTCTAAACCCCTGAGGCGGGTACCGAAATACGTAAAAATTTAGTTCTAAAATGAATATAAGATACTCATAGATTCTTCTACAGTTTCATACAAAAATCGAACCTGAATATTTGGAATAAACATTTGAAAAAGATATAATAAAAATAACAGACTTAGTTTTCGGAACCTCATCTCTGCACCAGTCTCTAGAGATTTAGAGGTCTAAAACCTGTTTTCATCTCTAAAGAAGCTGTTTATGACAGTTTATTAGAGATTCTATGCTGATAATAAGTACATGAAAGTTGTTAATAAAATCAATCAGATTCGTTAAAATATCATCAATACTTCAGCCTTCGTCATATAGGAAAGTAAGCCATTTTAGGAGACAATCTTGAAAGTTAACAATGAATCGGTATCGTTTTCGAAAGATCTTATCTGTGAAACATATACAGTTTGATAGTATGTAGATTTTCAAAAAGCTTCACATTGGAATTCACTTTGTCTATGGAACAAAATGGAATATATTACAATCCAATAGTTAAGAAATAGCCTTGACTGAAGAAAAGCAACCGCTGTTTCGAATGACAAAAGCATCGATAAAAACTATTGATATTAGAAGATTGGAGAGCATCAACAACTGTACCGAATTGAGTTTAAAAACAATATCTGCACGAGTTTATCTAAGGAATCCTAATATCTATGAGTATCATATATATTGTTAAGGATTTCAACCAGTATATGAATCCTCAAAACATCAAAGTCTTATGAAAACTTTAGTTCTTCAATATCATTCTATGAGCTGTAAATTGCTTTGTGAAACCATATTCGTGGTATCCTGTTCAAGATAGATGGCTACATCCAACAGAATCTTCTCAAAATTAGATTTTTTGGAAATCTGAACATATTTCCATTTTTTGTTATTGAATGTACACTAATTTTCATTAAGAATAACAAATCTTTACCTCTCTATGGGACTATATGTCCTAATGCTGACATCAATAAGAAGTCCTCGGAATTTGTGGAAGCAATATACAACGACTATCTCAAGCAATATTTAAAAGATTACGTAAGTATTTAAGAAAGAAATCATAAAAACATCAAGTATCATGCTGATATAAGAGGCAATCGATGAAAAGAATTTTTTGTGCATCTGATTCATCGATTTCTGAAACCATTCATCCAAAATGTTATTGTCTAATAGCCTTGCTTTCCTAAGATAGTCAATGCGAACTTCTTACTACTGCCACAACTTCAAGGAAATAAAGGAACAAAAAAAATGACTTGTGAAGTTGCACTCATTTTAATTTCAAGGATTGCTTGAAATTTTGTATAAACTATGCTAAAAACATGGAGAATTAAAAACAAAACAAGACGCACTGTTCCAATAAACTATAATATAGGCTGTTTCTCTTGAATAAGAATACCATCACTGAAAAGTGTTTTTTTTAATGAGTTTAAGATACACATTTTATAACAATTTGTTTTCTGTCAGAATTCAGGATGAGAAAGTTCCAAGCTGGTTTCTATACATATTATGCAACTTTCTATTCTCTACAAGATACAAAAAAATATTCAAAACTAATAGTATGTACAGGGTGAAACAAGGTTTACATATCTGTCCGAAAAGCAATTTTAGAGTTTGATTCACGTCATACTATTACAAAGCAATATAAAGGTGATATTCAAAATCAGCACCAAAAGCTACATAGAATCAAATGCATTTTCGAGAGTTTTTTTCTCATGAGAAGATCAGCTGTGATCTGCCAAAGTTTAGGTTTTCGTGGGAAAATCTTTTCTGAAATGTATTTGATTTAATGTAGTTTCTGACTCTGGTTTCGAATATTACCCTTATATGGCTTTATAAATGTATCATGGCAATAACAACTGCTACATTTTTTTTCTATTGAAGATATCTAAGACTCATAAAAAACCATTTTTCAATCATGGTAATTTTACTAAATCGAAACAATCCATGTCATAGTTTATTGAAATAGCACGTTTTTTTCCAGTTTTTAATTCTCTATCGTTTACTATAATTTATGAAAAGTTTCTATCAATTCTTAAAAATGAAATTGAGCACAACTTTTACAGAAAACTATTTTTCTTTGTATTTTCATAAGGTTGTGATAGTGGTAAGAAGCCGGCATTGGTTAATTTTTGAAAGCCAATCAAAAACTAAAATGTTTGAGTTTGATGATTTTAAACATAGATCCATTAAATGCCCAAACAAAAAGGAACATTTTTTCATCGAATATCTCGTATATTTGCATGATACTCGATGACTTTACGATTGCTCTTTTGATATCAATCGATATTAACACTTTATATTGGGTGCATCAATACTTTAGATTGAACTGGAAAAAAACCAAAAATCACAGCAGTCAAGTGAAGTTTCGTCCAACAAAAATAGTAACGAAGCTACGAAACTATTCAACAAAAACAAGATTGAAAACCTTTATCTGTGGTTTTTATTCATGAATCGACCAGAAATTGCCAAGTTTCTTTGTTCGAGATGTCAGGTAAAACATTGACTGTTCATTTTCAATTTATTATCGTGTTGAATTCTCTTTCAATGTATACCATATGTTCACTATCAGAATCAAACAGCTGCTGCTCTTCTCGCAGTCGTGATTTATTCGAAAGCAGCGAAGAAGGGCACAGAAAATAAAGATAAGTTAATACAAACTGCAAAGTGAGTCAAACACATTTTAGTTTATTTGACATGTTATATTGCATGCATGTTTTATTTACTTATTGATGAAAACAGTATGTTCGATGAACATGCGAAAGAAATCATAGACAAGTGTTTCACTAAAGACAATAAGCTTGCTATCAATATAATCAATGGTAAAGCTGTGGCATTCGACAGTTGCAGTCCGTTGGATATAGCGAAACGTGCTGATTGTAAAGCTTTTCTCGCCAGTGACACCGTCCAAAAGTATCTCAGTGACAAGTGGTACCATAAATTCGACGGTAAACGCCAACTACTGAATATAGATGTCTCTAAATGGGTTTGTTAATCATATTTGTAGAATACTCCCATAATCCATTCGATATCTCATTTAGATCTGCTTTAGTTCGTTTTTTCTGCCTCTCTTACCAATTATACCTGTATTTTGTCCTTCATTCTACAAGGAATATTCTGACAAATCCAAAGTATTTTATATAAAAATCTAACAGTTTGTGAATGTCTCTTACATAGAAAGCCAATCAGCCAACGCAACGTCGTTCGATGCTATCCTATAGGCAGATGTTAGTAGAAATTTTTTCTCTGATTTCATTTTAAATTGTACTTTATTTTTTACAGATCGGCATATGATACGGCCCCAGAAAGATCCTCTTCCAATAGGAAGAACCGGAGTTCTTCTCAGAATTGCAAAGAAAAATCAGATTCTTCACAGTGTCATGTTTGGAATAGAATTAAATGGTTTTACGAAGCACCAATGGTACGATTTTACACTCATTTTGTAAGTGTCTTTCCCCTATTACACTGTTTTATATTGTTGTGCATTGTTGTTACATTTCAAATTTAGACTTTCTTCTTCCTATTCTTGATTTTATTCAGTTATGTTCTTCTTGTCGACTATCTCCCACTAAATCGAGACGGCAGTGAGCGCTCTGGAATTCGAAATCTTCCGATTCCAATTTCGGAAATCATCTTACACATTTATATGTTAAGTTTCATCGTCGATGAAATCGATCAGGTCAGTGTTTTCTCTCTATGAAATAGATATGTTATTTTTCTACAACTTACCTTTTTTCATTATTAGATTATTAAATATAAAACATGGATCCATAGATATTTTTCCAGTGGTTGGAATTGGCTAGACCTAGCAGGCATCATTTGTTATTTAATTGCATTTATTACTCGATTTTTTGTGGTCGAATCCATTTTTGCAGCGTCAAAGTAAGATATTATTTCTTGCAATTTTTTCAACTAAGATTCTATTGAAATAGAAAATCATCACTATTAAGATTCAGAAAAATATAAATTGAGATTCGTTCAAAAACATATTCATCTGGTGGATCTGATCAAAAGATATTTCCAAATCGTATTTATGTTCTGAATGAGATTTCTTTTCTGTATATATTGTATGAAGATTGATAAAACAGCTTGAGAAAAATCATGACTCTATCTTTTTGGTTGATTGTTGGTAATATACATACATTAAAATATTCTTTGTCGAGTGACTATGAAAATAATGATATTTATATTGATATGGAAAATGATGTATATCATACATTTTCGAAAGGATTGTATCAGAAATCGTACTCTTTCGAGAGTTAACAAACCTAACAACTTTCGAATACAGAGTTCATGACACTTCAGGAGATGATGGATTTTGAGTGGAAAACTAACATCTCGCTTACATAAATAGTCTTAATAGCAGTAAGATATTTTCAGATAATCGAAATTTAGATTTCTTCGTATATTTTATCTTAGTTGTTTATAGTGAACTATACATATTTATCTTTTACTATTGCGGCATGGATATTATGTAACATTGTTGTTTCTTGGACATCATAATAATTATAACTCCTTTGATAGTTTTGTAGCAAGATTTCATTTTGATGCATAGGTATATTTTGTCAAATTGACCGTTAGAATATAGTGTCACAGATTAAACTATATTCCAATCTTACAAGGACGAAATGTAAAAAGAAGACCTATCAAATGAATTGATATCTGAAGAATACCATTTGTTTCAATCTATCATTCAGTATCGAAGGTCTTAATCAGCTTCTTATGTATTTCTTTAGTCATCATCTGAATGACAATAATAACAGGTAGATTTCCACATTCAAACTCATAAAGGGGAAAAAGTGATGATTTTGCGTTTAGTAAACATTGCCGAAAATCAGTTAAAAGCAGCTAAAATCATGAATATTAGATATTGCTTCCGATTTCCTTCTAAAATCCTACATTTGTTCGAGCAATTTATCTGTACCCACAATTTCTACAAAAGAATGAAAATGTAAGATGCGATACAATCAATTTAACAGGGGCCAAAGTTGTTAGTATAGTCATGAAAACGATAATGTTGAAGTATGATCAATTGATGTCTTCAATCGTATTGAGCAAGAAAATAATGATGAATCAAATCTACTGTAATCTGTTTTTCATTTAGAATACTCATGTCAATTGATTTTATTATTTGGTGCATACGATTACTGTATTTTTGTTCTGTATACGAAGCGTTGGGACCAAAACTGGTGATGATCTATAAAATGGTAAGTATGTCATGTATTAGAAAAATGTCCATGTCTCTTTTTGTCTTTTACTGCAGATGAAAGATACGTTTTTGATTTTTGTGTGTTTCATACTTGTTTTTCTCCTCGCATTTTCAATTACTTCTTGGTCTTTGTTGTCTACCAACAAACAAATTAATTGGTTGTATGCAACTAATGGCTCGTCAAACAATTTTACTTTAGCGAGCGAAAACGGAGTAGAGTGGAGTTGGCAATTATTACGAGATGTATTTAATTGGGGCATTTGGAAAGTATTCGGACAAGTAGCTGAACCATTTAAAAATAATGCTACTGATATGGACGTAATTAGCGGTACGAACATATACGTTTTTATTAGTACTATTGGCGAATCAAAAACCTCCTTCCTATCTTCTTTAGAAAATGATGCTTATGGTACATTTGTTTTCTTATATGCTGTTGCATTCGTAGTAATATCAAATGTACTTCTTTTGAATGTTCTGATCGCAATGTTCAAGTGAGTGTAGAACAAACAGAGAATAGCTTTTAGAATAATTTTAATTTGGTACTATGTAGTGAGAGAATTGGAGAGGTACTTAAAGGATCACGTACGATTTGGCGGTATCAGCGGTTCCAATTGATTGATGAATTCCGTGAAAAAGCCGTGGTTCCTCCTCCATTCAGCGTTATCTACCATCTAGTGCACTTCATAGTCAATATTTTATGTTCTAAGAAAGGTATCATCTGCTTTGAGAATATCTCTTTTAAAATTAGACATACTTTCGGAATTCGATGGTCATTCATTCATTTTAGATGAATCATCTAAGAATCAGGGCGAAAAAAACTTGTATCAGATGAATATTGAAAAAGAATATGCTGAAAAGTACTGGGAATCTATGGTAATCAAGAAAGGTATTCAACTATCAACTGAACAAGCTCTGCAAGAGTTGAAGATAAAGTAAGTTATGCATTACACTATGCTTTGATCTTCAATCAATTATTTATTTATTTCAGTCTTGTTTCCAAAATCAATATAGACAACGGGCGCCAAATCAAAGATTTTCAAAACGTTAAGGTACAATACTCACTTTTTCTTGTCATTCGATCGTGAGGTAGCAAGAGTGAACGTGTAGGTCATATGCTGGCAATAACAAACAGAAATCATGCAGAAAATTATTTAGATACAAAGTTTTTTTCTAAAAATGTTACGCATAAAATCATGATTGCCGTATTTTCATCTAAATTTTCAGTGATTTCACTTAAATCTTACTTGGGACTAGAGTAATAATAAGACATTACATGATTCATTCAAATATTATTGGAAGTGATAAATCAATTAAAGTTCTGTAACGACTTAATGAAATACAATAGTTCTTATAAGATTTATAGGTGAATTAAACAACTAGATAATCATAAATTAGACGTTGACAAGTCCAGTGTAGATTCAGACATTGTAAGTTCAAGTCTAAAGAAAATTTTGTTCTGTCTACAATCTAGCAATTGGTAGAAAAACGTCTATCGTTTGCTTTTTATACAAAGCTGTAATACACGAATGGAGTTGGTCATGAACTATAATCAGAGTCGCATATATTGAGTACTAAGCAATAGATCTTTCTTTTTTACTTCATATTTTCTTTTTTATTTTCCGCTGAGTACATTTTTGTGAATGGAATTCGATGATCTGCTCAGAAATTCAGCAATGTTAATTCTCAGAATTGATTCAAATCGAAATTGAGATTGACTTTTAAATGAAAACTTCATATGCTACACGTTGATTATATGGTACTTACAATACCTAACATTTTTTCAGGATTGAAAGAAGCCCAAAAGGTTTTGTCTCTATAAACTACTTGCTCGATTTCTTACAGTTTTACGAGATTTTTTGGTCACTATAACAATTCATGTATGGAAAAATCGAATTAAGTAATATTGATCTGAATAAATATGTATAGGGTTATGTAATTGGTTATACCAAAATGTAGCTTTAATTCTAATTGTCTAGAAATGAATACTACACGCTAAATGTCTTGTATACGTTGTCTTTTGTACATTGTCCTAGGTCATTTTCTTGAGCTTGTCGTCGTCACTAATCATAATAGAAAATTTTTTTCATGTTACATAATGCATACTACTATATTTTCAAATAGGTGTAAAAATCATGGATATTATATTCGTTTGGAGAGAGTCTTATCGATCTTCTAATAGGTTCAAATATTCTAAAAACACAATTTTGTACTGTAAAAATGTAAGCATAAATATTTAAAGAGTTTCCAAAATGGTTTCGTTCGATGCAGAAAATTTTTTTCTACTTGTGCTAGTGAGAACCTGCTAGAATTGTGCTTTCATTTGATTGTCAACCGTAGAATATCGTCTCAATTTTGATCCTTCTTCATCGATTCGGTGAATAGTAGATCGAAAAACATACAATAAATTTTTTGAGTCTAATGAAGTTTTGTTGAGGATGTTTTATTCCACGAGCACTTTCATATGAATCAGCATGTAACTCTGATTTTTTGACAATTAAAACTAGAGTTTCATTTTGTTATAACCAATTGAATAAATCTATGCATATTCTTTCAGGATAATATAACGTAATTCGATTTCTGATAAATAAGTTGTTAATTTTGTTGAAAAATTTCGTAATACAGTGAGAAATCGAGAAAGCAATTTACAGAGTCATACTCTTTTACGCTTGCTGTATTTCCGAGAAGTTCTACATAAGGCAAAGTACGACATGGATCAAAATACAGCATATTAGAATCTTCCTTTACAAGACCAAGTCAATAGCGATTCTGATTCCAATCAACTTCATACAAAAATAGAAAGTGGAATTGGTTGAATCAAAACTGGGGCACCTATACCTCTGAGTGTTGTTGTAGCACTTTGTCAATGAGAAATCATCGATAGACTCATAGAAAAAGAGAATTTTTATTATTGTTAATATTTGGTTACATTCCCCATGTTTCAATTAAAGATATAATATGTTGAAATAGTTAGCACCTATTTATTATTGGATTTGTCGAACACATATTCATCGATGAATCCAAGAGAAGTGTACCTCAACATGGGAATCTATTTCTTAAATGCATTTCAAATGTTGGATTGCTTCTAAATCATCGATAGTTGACAGAAAAAGTCTGTAATCAACCTAAAGATTGATATGTGTACATATAATTTTAAGATTCAGATCTTTTTTCAAAGAAACATCAGCAAATGTACGGAGTCTCTCACATTCTGAGTAGGTTTTATTTAAGTAAACTTTGTTTAACAAAGGTTCCCATTTCGAATAGATAGTAAGATGAAATTTAGCAGAGATATTGTAAAATGCTAGAAAAAGATACCACTTATTAATAATTTTCCCACATCTGAATCATATTTTGGAAGCATGTAGGTGTTGAGTATTTATTTATGAGTTTTTTTATTCTATTTTCATAAAAAGTTTGTTACCTATAACACTATGTATTGACTAGAGGTCATGCATCGAACTGATCTGTAATACCAAAACTTGCTTGGTTCCAATTCATTAGATGAGAAAAATCTGAACATATATTACCAGCAATAAAGAAAAAGAGAAGTCAGTGTAACTTCATTGAAGTTGGATAGTTATCAATTTTTTCAAAACTATTCATAGATTCTTGAAGAATTTTAGATACATGGATTCATCGTTCATTTGGTAAAACAAATCTTTTATCTAAATCCGACTTAGAACCTGATTTTGTCTATCTCTGTGATTGATGGGAGTCTAGTACATAGCTGCTGTCTCTTGAAAGTTTGAATGAAAAATTGTACTACAGATATTCGCTAGTATACTATAACCGTTAAAATTCCGAACTCGATAACAACAATACTAAGTTGCATATGGTGGCAAAAACAGGCATATCATTTCTTTAAAATTCACTTTCATGTGATGAAACAAAAAAAGAGCAATTCTGTTCGTTTGCTCTTGCTTAGAAAAGACTTCAGCTTTTCTTTTTATTTTAAAAGTGAATGTGGAAATTTCTATTTGTGTCAACAACAAATGTTGATTGTTTATGTTTTACACTTGTGATACGAATGAAACTGAACAGTTTCTCATTAAAGATTATGATCATATTTGAAATAGCTATGCATTGAGAGATGTGACTAGAGATCTGGCTCTTTTATTTAGCATTTTTATCGAAAAAGCAAGAGTTTAGCCGTTGTAACAGTTTTAAATTCTAAGACAAAAGACAAATTTTTGATTTTTTTTTTATGAAAAGTAACAACACATTTCTGATTCAAACAAATACTCAGAGAACTTTTTCCCATATATGGGTCACGCAATGAACGGCATTTTGAAGTGCAGAAAAGAGCACGTTTATGATTCATTCACTAAGAAGATCTTCGTTTCATTTTATTTTCAGACCAAGATCGAACAGACGCAATATGACATGCACTATGGATTCAGACAACTGCGGGAACCGCAAGAATTTTCCATTTCACAAAGAAGTATGAATTTATTTCAGCTATGCGTTGTTTGGATCAAAATACTCGTTGAATCATTCTGAGCTCTTTTGTACAGAGACCACTCCAAAGCCTCAAAATCGGTTGATGCATAACAACTTTTTCGAACGGAAAAGTGAAAAAAAAATATCATTCTACGCCTTGCTCTTTGTTGACACCACACTAAAGTTTTAAGATATTGCTTCACTCCATGTGACCACTATGCTTCTATTTTTCTGGCACTCCCATTATTTGACTAATGTAACAGCTAGCTCACATGGTCGGTCTCAACCTGGCATGGCAGAAGAGTGAATAGTTTCTCATAAATCATTGTCGAGCACTAGCGGCTTTTCTGGCGCTAAAGTCGAACTTGTTGAGAATCAATATTATATATATTGATAGTGTAAAAGTATACGCATTGTGCGCGTTTGAATGCATCACTTTCTTTAAGTCGAAGGCATATTTGCCATCGAGATTTGCAAGGGTGCAACTTAGACCAACATCAAAATGAATCAGTCTTTTTTGAAACTGGGAAAGAAAATTTTCTTGTCGCTCGATACAAACGAATACAGTTATTCAGAAAATTTTATCATGAAATGATAAGTTTTCTTGTTCAGTTCTTCACAGCAAACAAAAGATGAACCCATCTGTGTAAAGTAACAAGGTGTCATGTTGAACCTTTGAGAGATCTATATTTTGGATGACATTTTCTGAACTTCTGAATGTTCTAACATAATCTACTTCTGTTTCGAACCTTCTTTTAGTCTTGAAGAAATGGTTCCACACAGAGAAAAAAAGCACTCATTTACTGTACACTCTAAAAAAGGTATTCTTAAAAACCCTTAAAGCATTTCTACTTTTGTTACTATCCTAAAGCCTTTTAAAAGTTTTTGTGCGCGGGTTCCCGAGCATTCAGAAGTCTAAACCATTCATATAAAATTTCCCATCCAAACATCACTAGTAAATATTTTCTACTACATTACATAAAGTAAAGCAGTACTTATACGTGAACCTTTAAAAATGACTATACATATACTCATAAGTAAAAATACTTTTGTTATTATTTACGCTATCATAACACTTCAGTTGAAAATTCTACTTATTTCGTTTCCCAAAGCTGAATTCGACCTTTTTAAGTGAAATCTCTCATTTCTGTCATCTTCTCCGAATTTGAAAGTCATTATACGAATGACTTGATCAAACCTGATGCAAACATGTATGCATGAAACTGTCTTATAAATTGCTCGAGATCGAAGTTGCACAATTACAGTTTAGAAGTTCATTTTTCGTAGAACACTTAATAGTAATTTTGTATGGTAGACATTCAAAGTAACTATTCGGACAAGTACTATAAGTGTTTTTTCTCGACATTGTTGAGTTTGATTTTTAAGTCAGTGAAAGCATATTTTGTAATAATAAATATTTTGCACAATAGACTTCAGGATCTCAAATTTTAATTATGATAGTCAAGTTTCATAAATAGCAGTTGTTTTCGTTAAATAGATGTTCTCTAATCAGAAAGCTTATAATGGAATGATAAAGAGAAAAAATTTAAGGTTATATTAATGATATGGCTGTTAGTGAAGAGAAAACCCACACTCAGTCAATAGTCTTGATCATTTGAAAGTTCCAGCTAAAAAGGGTAAAGATTGAAGAAAAAAACAATTTTCAAAACTTTTCTTCTAAATTTGCAACTTTTCATGTTTCATTCCTTAATAACAAAAGAACCGATTGAACAGTTTTTTCAAACGATTCTCGAGTTAAGACACTGTTACTGTAAAAATTTTAAATTGTTTCTTTTTTCTTTTCATCTATCTTGACAACTAACTTTTGTATATCGTAAATAGGTATTTATCTTAGGTTTCTTCCACGTAGTCGTGAATATCTGAGAAAAATAATCAAATAAAGTGAAAAAAAATCCTAAAAACACTACGCGTGTCTGTAAATCAGGTAGCATGAGGATGATAATTAACAAAAAAGTCCTATAAACATAATATCTTTTTGCAATAAGTATACCGAATAAATGCGATTTGATTGCATCAAGGTTTATTACAACGATGTTGTTTAAATTTGAAAACACCACTGCGCCGGTTGAAAAAGGTCGAGGGTCAACATCATTGTAGCCATTCTGGAGGATGTGAGTGTGGGATGTTGTCGAAGAGAAGAAGATGCATACCCACATCCACATCCAGATCCACACCTTACTGAAGACAAGTAACTGAATATGAGTTTATCTTTAAAATTTTAGTTGTTTGATTGAAATTGCACAAAATATGTAAAGCGATCATACGTATTTGCGTTTTACTACCCACGTCAGTAGAGATGATGAAAGAATGAATAGTTATAGTTAGAGATCATAAATAGGTCTCACTTAAATATTTCATTAGGCTCGAGTTTATTTTGAATTTGTTTTTCTGCTTCTTGAATATACAAAGTCGAACACATTGCAAAGGTAAACTTTTAAATATAATATCTAAATTAGTATTGAACATGTATTATAGTCAACTGATACCATTGTTAAGAGGGTACTATATATTGGAAAAATAAAAAAAAACATACATTTAAAGGTAGTAGAATCGTTTTTTATCGTTACATCTTTACACGTTATTCAAGTCTCTCCTGCTCAAAAAAAGTTGATTTTCATGAAAAGCATGAAGATTGAGATAAATGCATAGAGTGACAGTTCAAAGTCTATTCTGTCGAAAATGACATAACATTTTATTTGGCACTTCGTTTTTTTTCGTAAAATTTCTCTCATTTTCTGCTTTGCGCATCCCAGAATTTTCGAAGGAACTTCATTGTAACCAATGAGTTTGTCTTTTATTTGAAACAGTATATCAAAATCCAGGGAATGATAGAGCCTTTCTTAAATTAATCTTTGTTATTATTAAATAAGAGAGTACTTTTATAATAAGAGCGCCATTTTTTTGAAGTTTTTCGAGACATTGAACTTTGTCATGCCTATAGTGCCCTTAAAAAGTAAGAATTATAAAAAAAACAAGGCTCTGCCATGCGGTGCATCCTGAATACTCTTTCAAACATAGTTAAATATCTCCCAAAAACATTATAGTATGTAGCTGAGAATTTTACTGTAGTCGCTCCACTCTTCATCTACATCAACAACCAATCCTAATTTTTGCTTATCAAGCAGCTATTTGAGATAACCTAAATAGTGAACACTTAGAATTGAATGGATAGAATTGTGTACTATCATCTGTTCTATTTTCAAGTCATATCTTTCCCAAAGACTGTCTCTAGATACTTTTTTTTTTATGAAAGCAAAAATTTTTATATCTTTATTTTTAAATTTCTATATCATGATATTAGTGTTGAGTGAACCATCGCTATTCTTACATAATAGTAATCTAAATTAGTTAGTGTGAGCTTGGGTCGTTTTTTGTATTGAATCTGGTGATCAGTGCTAAACTAAATATTTCTAACGGGCAGTATATAAAGGTATAGGTAATAGCTATAAAATCAGTATATGTTCAACTGCTACATCATTCTGAAAAACTATGCTAATAGAATATAAATAACTTAATGCTTAAATGTTTATCGAGTTACAATTTAAGTGAGGCATATTTCCCGGAGGCTGATTTGAACTCTCGTTTCTCATTTATTTGTAAAGAATGTTGATGAATTACTTACAATGGCCTTAAGTCTCTTTTCCATCATCTAGTTCTGTTCATTGATATCTGTTGAATAATTATGACCCAGATAATTAGTTCTAGTAGTATTCTTTAAAATTAATATTATATTTATTTGAGTAGAAATTCATTTAACTTTGAAGCTTTACGTCATTTTAAAACACATATTTTTATGTGTCGTACAATTGACTGATTATCCCGTGTTATGCATTGCTGCGTATTTTCTTGATTCTCATGAAACAAAAACTCTAAGCTGTTGAGTACGTGTCATTAGTTTCTCTTCTTTTTCAAGGAAGTTATTATCTCTTCGTGTTCCCGTTGAAGTGTTAACTGAAAAAAAAATCTTAGAATGACTTAATTAATAAAAAGGAAAAAAAAGATTGACTCTTTCAGAACCCATATTTGATTATCGTAAGCTCATTTATGTTTCCTTTGACAATTATAAATTCATATTTTTCTCTATGTCATATTTTATGATTATAATTTCTATTATGATATGTGTAATAGTACCACACTTTGTTCTTAAATACAACCCATTTTTATAAACAATCTTATATACATCAAGTTTTAAACTAAAAAATGTAGAATATAATTCATAATAATATTTTTTTCACATGAACTGCAACT